AAAATCCGTCCAAACACAACCCCTTTGACAACCTTTCACAACCCCTTTGACAACCGTTCCCACTTTGACAGTATGATAGCTTACGGACCCTAAATGCGACCCTCCCCCGAAATCACAAATGCGATCCCCTCGTTTGAACAGTGCGAATAGACAGTTGATCCTGATTCGAAGTCCAGCTGTTCTTATCGGATGATCCTGTGGCCTCCTTGCCACATGCCCATGCCATCGCAAACGCTGTTCCCGTCTTCCAAAGTGATCGGCTGTAAAGAAAAAAGGAAAAGAATCCCTCGAAAACGCTTGAGTTAAGAGCTTGTTCACCTTCGTAATGTGGCTGTGCTAAGGAAATGAGAGCTAGCGCGGAGAGGAGAGTATGAGGCGAGAGAGCGCAACAGATGAGAGGGTGCCAGATAACAACCTGGGCGTAAAACATTGCAGCTGCAGCAGCAAACTCGGAAAGCCCTGTCACCTTTTTTGTGTGATTTCGATACACGGAAGTGTCACAATCGTGATTGTACTCTATAGAGCTATCCTGCAGGATGGGAATCGTTCAAACGACTTCTCCCTGGGTTGTGCTTCACATTACTGAAACCTTATCCTTGACTAATGAATACATAGCAATCTGTAGTCAACAATAGGGCAATGATTATGAGAAAAGCCACAGAACTGAAACGGGAACCTGATCGAGAGAATAGCGGTGATCAACTGCGACATGGTGCAGCTTCGGACCCCACCGATGAAGACGATGTGGACGAGTTCACTGTCCAAAGGCGGATCCTCTTATATCGCAACGACAGCTCTTTACAGGCTTGAGTACTCCCGTCCATACCTTTTCTGCGGATCCCAATGCCACTTCCGTTTTTTTTGCCAAAATACGAAACCAAGGAAAACACCAAAGAAGACCACCTGAGGGATGGCAGGACTTCCCCCGACCAGCGTACATTCAAAAGTGGACAACTTATTTATTCCCTTCCCCTCCTTCACAGAACTGCCACACTAAAATACCTCCCCTTACATTCTACCGATTACTTTACCTGCATTTAAACCATCGCTAGCTGCGCTCTGCAGCCCGAACGCGGTTATGATTATTATGCCTTCAGACAATGGAATTTTTTCCCACTTGGCTAAATTCTGCCCTTCCATTTTGGTATTAGCTGCTGATTGTGATCCCTATGCGAGGCTTTTCGTACCAAAGAACATGGAGGAAAATGCAAATATTCATGTATCTCCAGTTAGTAAATGGTCACAAATAAAATTATGGTTCTTCAAAGCTCTCACAAAGTAAGCAAGGACGATGCAACACTAGTTGGGAGGGGGGGGGGGGGGGGGGGGGGGCGAAAGGGTATGCTCGACTTCTGAGACGTTGTAGTTGCGCTATGTATACAACAACTACTGTCCCGCTAATGCGGGCCGGGGAAGACGATTTCTGAGAGGAGAAACTGCGCTTGATTGAAACACCCTAGAGTTCTCCCTCCTCCAGAGTCACACTCCTCCTCAGTTTCCTCTTCACATCAAAAATCGAAGAGATATGAATCAGTGCATCCTTGCGCACACTAGCTCCACCGTACTCACGAATTGCGAACCCACCCTTTCAATTAGGTTTGCACCGAAAGCACGTTCGGAGGAGTATATCAGGTGCAATGTGCTTCCGACGGGCCCATTCTGCAAGAATGCCACTATAACTGAGCCTAATGGAAAACGAATACTGGAGAGAATGAAAACATACGCACCTCGGATTTACTTTTCAACTCTAAGCTTATTCCTAAAATTTTCGTGAAATTGAGGAAATGTCATGCATGCGGTGGTCCTGACAGAGCCACATTGCGTCCGGAATACCATAATAGGGCTTCAGCTCTTTTTCATTCAACCAGTGTCATAAGATTTGTAACATTTATAGTGATGTGTGCATCACAGGCTAGTTTGCAGCCTTTTGCATTACGGAACTCGCCGGCAAGGTCCGAGTGAATTTGCAGTTACGGTGATTGTCTTTTGTACGCA